TTAATCAGCATTTCAGGTAATCATATGTTAAGGTGGAATACATACGATTCCGCATTCACTTATCTTAACCTAAACCATTCAACTTACTCACAAGTTGTCAACATGACTTGATTCTACAGAAAAGTTGCTTCTAATGAAAAAGTGAAATTGTATTATCTCTTCAGTGAGGTGATTATGTTACTTTAGCCACGTAATATGGCACACCCAGAAACAGTTCTCATGAAGGCATCGGAAAAGTACTCCGATGACCTGAACTGATGTTGAAATTTCAGAGATTCTTAGTTCTACATCAGTGAGTGGGAAAGGGCATCCAATTTCCTGTGGATGTTGACCAAGAGACCTCATACAAAAATACAAAATAGACTTACAAGAATATTCTAGAGAAAAGACCTCATGGTAGACTCATTCTCATAGTGATTTGACATACCCTTAGCTCTATCTCAAACCTCTATTTCAATAATTACAGCTCTGTGATAATTATTTACAACCCACATGGTGCCAGATACTACTGTTTCTAATTATAGGTCTGCATTTGCTTCTTTTGAATTTAAATAATTTGTGGACTTTATCCAAGTATCTGGGTGATGTTGTACCTCATCACTGATGAGGAAAAGAATAAGCTAAAATAGTGCTGGTTATGGAGGGTATATGAAATCAACTACTATAGTCAGTAAAAGAATTAATTTTAATTAATGGGGCAGAGTGTGAAGGCCTACCTTATCTTTTCTCATCTACAACACCAGGTACTTTTTTTCTTTTCTGTTGCTTCTCCATCACCTAGTACCATACACAAATGCTAAATATTTTTTAATAAATGAATGTGTTGAAGAAATGTACATAAAATCTAAAAATATACTTTGATGCAATTATAATCTGTCTAAATTCTTCTTCTCTGATTTTTACTGGAAACAGTTAGTTCTTCCTGGGAGTTATAATCCTAGAGGTCTTTGTGCCTGTGCCTGTATTGTTTGTGTGCACATGAATCAGAGTGGCATTTCCATGTTTATTAACTGTGAAGCCATTCCCTCCAGAGTAACTAGATAAGAGCATGATTATCACAAGAAACTCTTTCAGATTTATGAAGCCTTGATATATGTATTTAAGCTACATAGCCTATGAATTCACTAGATTAGAGTTTATGAACCAATAACTTTATTTGATTTATGATAAAATAGAACCATTTTATGTTTCTTCATTTATTACCTCTGTTCCATCTCCTGTATGCTTATTGCTCTTAAATATTTTTCAAAGTTATTTTTTACTTTCTTAAAATTTTGTCTTTTTATTTGCTTGCTGTCATATTTTATTTAAATGCCATTTTCTTGCCAACAGCCAATATATTTAGGGATTAAACACTTAAACCATTGATGATTTTATATGACAAAAATAAAGAATCTGCTGTCATTATTCTTATTTAGCTTAGCTCTGGAAAAACTGTTTAATTCAATAAGACATTAAAATCAATAATACATAGCTATTAAAAATGTGGGATAAAATTATTTTTAAGTGATAAGTTTGCTTACTTTGGTTTTCCAGGTAAAAAACGAAATCAGACAAATAAACAAAAAATAACAAGTTCAGTATAGAATAGTAGTTTTCAAAATGGGGTCCTCAAGACCTGCTCAGAGATTTGTTAACATCAACGTTATTTTATTTTATTTACTTATTTATTTATTTTTGAAACAGGGCTTTCCTGTGTCGCCCAGGCTGGAGAGCTGTGGTATGATCACAGCTCATTGCCTCCTTGACCTCCCAGGCTCAAGCGATCCTCCCACCTCTTCCTCCCTAGTAGCTGGGATTATGCCACCAGGCCCAGCTAATTTTTGTATTTTTTGTAGAGAGGGGGTTTCACCGTATTGCCCAGGCTGGTCTCCATCTCCTAAGCTCAAGTAATCCACCTGCCTCAGTCTCCCAAAGTGCTAGGATTACAGGCAGGAGCCATCACACTTGGCCAAAGATATTTTCTTTGTAGTACTAAGATGTTTTTGTCTTTTAAATATAAAAAATATATAATAATTTGTCTCACTTCTTTTTTTTCTTTTTTTTTGAGACATAGTTTTGTCTTGTTGTCCAGGCTGGAGTGCAATGGTGTGATCTCAGCTCACTGCAACCTCCGCCTCCTGGGTTCAAAGGATTCTCCTACCTCAGCCTCCTGAGTAGCTGGGATTACAGGCACATGCCACCATGCCCAGCTAATTTTGTATTTTTAGTAGACATGGGATTTCTCCATGTTGGTCAGGCTGGTCTCGAGCCCCCGACCTCAGGTGATCTGCCTGCCTTGGCCTACCAAAGTGCTGGGATTACAGGTGTGAGCCACTACGCCTGGCCGTGTCTCACTTTTTGAGTGTACAGTGAAGTCTGCCAGTGGCTATGTGATGTGCTATTCCAGCAGATTGAAGGGAGAAACATATTAAAATATACCTGTTTTTTATTAAGCCAGATATTAAAAGAGATTTATAAAATTGTAAAACTGCCTCTCTTCTCACTATGTATTTTGTTTTGGAAGACATAATTATTTATTGTAAAAATAGATCACTTAATTATATATAGGCTTTCTTGTTATTTTTACATGAACATTTTAAAAATCAGAAATTCAAACAAATACAGGAAATATGAATAGTGATGACACACTAACAGAAACTCTTTGATTCTTCATTAATTTTGGAAATTGTAAAGTATTTCAAGATAAAAACTTTGGGAATTGCTGGTGCAGAGGACTGGCACTATATATTTATATATACAACAGCAATAACCACTTATAACTCAAAGTAGAAAAAAGTGAAATATTTGGTTATAACCTTATAGATCTATATGGAATATATAATCGGTGTGGTATAGGAGGCTCAATAAATAGAGATTCACACCATCTTCCTTGGTATGAAGTTTATTATAATAGTATTTACTTTTTAATTTATAGATTTCCTCTATTTTCAAATATTTAACATATGTGAAATATTTAACGTATTTCAATGGAAATGTGTTAAACCTATGAAAATGAAAATTTTTTAAGATTTAAATGCTAAAGTTTATACAGTAATAACAGAGCAATAACTGCAAAAACATTAAAAGCAAGATAATGAAGGGAGAGCTGCCTTATCTGACATTATAGTTACAACACAGAGTCAGATGAATAGACTTAGCTATCTCAAACTTCACTGTGTGTGGTGCATATGTGTGTATATGTATATATTTATGTGCATTTAATATTAGATAAAGGAATCACTCATGTTCAGTATTATTCATAGGGTTATGTAAATGGAAATATATTTTATCACTTCATTAAAGATAAATGTCATTAATATTAGAGGTATTGCTAAGCATTTGTAAATTGTTGGGGGGTAGTTATAAATTGAAACAACCTTCTAAGATAGTTATTTGCTACTATACATCAAATGCTTTAAAGTATTCATAATCTTTACTGTGGCAAATTTATTCCTAGCAATCTCTCCTGGGGAAATGCTCAGAAGTCGAAAAATATTTATGCATAAATATGTTCACAACAGCACATTTTATATTAATTCAAATTTTAGAACAATATATATATCTACATATTGGGCAATGATTAAATAAATATGGTAATGACAAAAAATTGCATGTCATAGTGTTGACTAAGAATAGAGAATACAACTATGTAAAAAAGTATATAAAACTACCAGGCATAGATGTAGTAATACATTAACAGTGGTTGTCTCTGGATTCTGGAATTATGGAGACTTTTTATTATCCTCTTTATGCCTTTTTGTATTTTCCCTTTTTTTCTTTACAAAAAATATATATCACTGTTAAATAAAAGCAATGTAATTTAATTAACTTTACACAGAACTATTAACTTTTTAATTCATAGATTAAGACAAATCAGATGTATTTCGTAACAGTCAGTTCTGAAATATTTTATGTTACGTTTATGTTATGTTACAGTCAGATTTTATGTTACGTTTCAGCTGTGGGCTACCGGTTCTTTTTCATGTACCAGTAACTTCCTTGAGTAGTACCCTGTTTTCAGAGTGTATTATTGTCCATTTACAGCAAACTATTTAACCTTAAATCAACCACTTTTCTTCTCTTAGCCTTTAGTTTCCTTATCAAATGATGTTTCTTCCAATTCTATAATCTGAAAATTGAATAGTAAAGATCTCCAAAGCTATTTTTCCAACAGAACCATCATCTCCTGCAATGTCTGTCTTCTACTATACATTCTCTCCTAACATATTGTCTTATCTTTTGTGCGTCTCCTCCTCCAACCTCCACCTCCCAAAATGTGCTGATTGAAGAGGGATTATAATGTCATCTTTCTGTCTTTCTCTTAGTACTACTCAACATTCTCAGCAATAGATCTTAGTGGTCTCTATGTGATATTGCTGACAGATTGTCATCTGCAGAGCTTTGGTGATTCTCATCATCATAGAATTTACCAAAATCTGTAGAAATTCTAAGAGTATAGATCTACATGGACTGCCTTAATCTTGATTGTGAAATGCTGTTGCCTTTTCCTTTCATCTTAAGTTGTTTCGTTAGTTCTTTTTGATATAGGCTTGGTACAGTTATAGCCAATCCAGACTTGGATGCATATGGTTAACATTTGAAATGAGCAGCACTTTGAAAATCCTTTCTTTTTGATGAAGCTATTATATATTGTAACTATAGTTTGCAACCTACTATTTTTACTCTGTGGTGCTTACTAGAGAGCATTGTTATATTTAGTTATTAATCCAAATAAGTCATTAAATATGTTAATTGATGACTATGAATGCATATTGGTACAATATTATAATCTTCATACCAATCAGTTCGCTTGATATCACATGTAAGTTTCTTATAACTTAACTGTTATTAAATTCTTCAGCATAAAGTTTTAAGCTATATTATGCATTTTAAATGGAAAAGCAAAATCTTAGAGTTGATTCTCTTTGTCAAATAATTAGTTTCTGGGGTGGACGGTGTGCTGTTTGATGTCTCCATGTGATTCATGTGTACTGATAAATTTCTTTTTAAACTTGCAGCAAATAGTGGCAGCAATAAATGCAGGGATTATACCTTTAGGAAACACCTCCAATCAAATCAGTCACTGGGATTTGGGAAGTTCCTTCTTCTTTGCTGGCACTGTTATTACAACCATAGGTAGGAGACAACTTATTTTTGTTTTTTATTTTGATACAGTTTGTGAGCTGATATCCATTTGTTTGAAATTTTTTATATAGTTGGTCAAAATGATCTACTTAAGGTAGAAAAACTAGATTATAGTAAATTGATTTTGAAAAGGTGGTTTAACGATTTAAACAAAGGAATAATGGAAATGAACTAGTTATTTTAGAATGCTGAGTTGACTTTAAAATACATGTAAAACTTAGGAGCAGCGTAGTTCAGTCATTTGACTAAGAGTAGTAATGTCAATAAACAGCTTAAAATGATTATTTCTTTAGACGAGTAGTTTTTAACCTTCCTGAATTTTTGATATTTTTTGTGTAGCAGGAAAGGATTTGAATACAATTTTAACATTCTTTTCGTGGACGATCTCATGTGATATCACCTTTTTCAATTTGTAAATTTTAACTGTACGTTTTAACAGATTATGCCTGTTATATGCTCATTTATGACGATGACTTCAGGGCTTGTTTTTTTATACATTATATTTTGCCAGTAGCACAAATATGTGAAATTTAACACTGAAATGTGAGGATTATAAAAAGTATGAAAGTTTAGGCCCCTGATGTTTTACTAAACTTTTAATTGCATTGTTTGTTATAATGTTGAAAGGGTTGCGTAATGGAATGTGGTCTCTTTTTTGAACTCACCCACGCATGTGTTTGACATCTTCTAAAGCAGCAGAATGGGTACATGTAGATGTCCTCTCTCTGTTAGTTTGTCATTCAGCGCCCAAAAGGTATTCAGGAAACCTAAACGCAAGACCCCAAAGCGAAAGCCACGCTTGTCATTCTGTAAGAATTGGGAAGGGTAATAGCTGCCTTGCTCATGGAAAGAGATGCTTTTAAAGCATATTTTTTAAGAAAGGAAAGGTATTTTCTGGAGACTTCTGCACATCTATGGTATTACACTTACTGGTTCAGTGTTTTGAAAAATAAAGACAAATATTTTTCCAAATTAAAAAGAAAGAAATAAAAAAAGGAAATTGACTCATCATAGTTATAAAGGAATTTCAGGTGTGAGAAAATATATGTAAAAAAGGGAATTCTTTCTTTCTGCTTACCCTTGTAATGGTACTAATCTCAGATTATGGGATAAATTGAAATCCTGAAAGTCTCAATCTTATTTTTTTGTGTCATTCATAAAATATGATATATATAAAGTTTTCATATCAGTAGGTTATATCAAAGAACTAAATAGGAGAATATGGAAAATTTATGGATGAACTCTCCCTTAAAAGTTTTCTTTTTACAGGTATTTGTACTGTTCTATTGTTATATGAATTCACTGTAGCGCCTCTTTGTGCTGGATCACTTACAAAATAAATACCTTAGCATGTTGATTTTTTTGCCTTTTTTAAGAGGTCAAGAAACTATGTTTACTCTTTCATTTCCATCAGCTAGGATGAAAGTTGTGTGGCTGTGAAAATCTGGAAGAATGGCAACCTTGATTTCCAACCATAATAACAGGTTAAGTTTGGGGCTTAGACATCGTGGCCATTTCTACTATGGAAATAACTATTTATTGTGTAAACTACTTAGAGTCTAGAAGAAAAAAAGCTTACAGACCGAGTGAGAATGGTTTGTTTCTGCCAATGAAAATTCAAAAGTCTAAGTTATAACTCATCATGACCACCACTAAATTATTTTGCAGGAGACTCAGTCATTATACAGACTTACTGTTGCCCTGTATGTTTATAAACAGTCTCATTTTTTGAATCCCCAAATACAGTAAGTTTTGCAGACATACACTTCAACACATGAAAAAAAAAATAAACCATTATTACCAGCCTTACCCCAAATTATAGCCATTAAGCACAGTAGCTGATCATTTAGGTTGTTTAGGTAGCTGCCTGAGAGTCCAGATCTCCTACTGTTCTATCTCAGGCTTTCGTCTTCAGTGGATTAAGTCATTCTGGGTGACCCACATGAGGGCTTTTTGCTGAATGGTCTTTTACTCTTCAGGTCAACACCATCTCCTCTAACCTTGGAGTAGGTTACGATAGTCTAGGGCAAGGGAAAATATTTGACGTCTTTCCTAAGTGTGCATTTGAAATCAAATTCATTATTCCATAAAATTCAAAGTATAATTATTAATTTTTGCTAATGATAATAATTGTGTGGGCTTTGAAGTGTGTTTTAGCAATCATAGAAATTATGACCTTTAGCAATAGCTGCATTGCATAAGACATTTTAAAATGACATTAGAAGTTGAGAGAGTTTTGGAAAATAAATTTTAGTGGCTTTTATAAGGTGCCTGGTACAGGCAGTGCTTCATGGAGCTGAGTTGGCCACAGTTGTCCAAGGTTTTTCTGTTCAATTTTATCAGTTGTTCTAAGAAGCAAACATAATCCTATCATTCCTTGGAAATGTGCCCAAGGGAAGTTATACAAAATAAAATATTAAAATTTAAGACCAAATTTTAGAATGTCTCTTCATATATCTAAATGCCCTTTCCAAAGTTATATCCTTCCAAATTCTTCACAAATTCTTTTCCATAGTTACGCAGACTAGAATCCATTCTTGTCCATTCCATTTCTCTCGTATCCCACTTCCATTACTTATACCAGTCTTGTTGGCTTTGCCTTTAAATTAGATTCATGCATTCACTACTGCTCAGCATTCAAGTTGCCACCATTTTTATCCAAAGCAGCATCATCGCATGCCAGTGTTATTGCAGAAACTTTCTGCTCAGAACTCTTCTGTGGTTTCCAACTCAGAGCAAAAGCCATAGTCCCTTGCCTGCTTTTCCTGGTAAAATGCTAGCTCTGTGAAGTTAGGGATTTTTAATTATTTGGATCTTGTCTGTATCTCCAAATGCCTGATACATATTAGGTGCATAATAATTATTTTTGAAACTGAAAACAAATGGGCATTGTATACTGTCTGAGCTATGACTTATTGAAAGTTATATAACACCATATTGATACCTGTGAGGCTAAATTATTAGCCATTTCAACAGATTTCATTGCCAGTGTGTTTGTTCATTTATTAATTTAACAAATAATAAAACACTATCACTCCATCGCTGTAAAGATAAAAGATACATTCCTTGACTTTAAGTTGTATATAGATCAGTCAGGGAGAAGTGTGGGTAAATAAACATTTATAATGCAGTGTGCCAGGAGTTGTGTTTTAAGAGCAATTAATGGGAATGTATAGGTGCAACACTTTACATAGATATTGGGTAGGTAGGTGGGTGAGAAAGAGGCAAAGGGATGCTTCCTTTTCTTTAGTAGGCATTGTCCCAGTTGACTGGAAAGAATTAGAAATTTGCAGGGTGGAGAAAAGTGGAAAGGGAGGCTTGCAGGTATCAGGAGCTCATGTGGAAAAGACCAGGAGTAAGAGACAGTGTGATTTGTTTGACTATCGTCAGTTATCTAGAATGGCTGCTTGGAGTTGAGGGGAATTCATCCTCAGAATCATTTTAATTAATAAGTCAACGTAAGGAGCTCCTGCTGGATTTGTGCTACTTCTGCCATTGCCAGGAGTACAAAGGAAGTAAGGACATAGTCCCTGCTTACAATCTCATTTGGGAGATAACATTTACACATATGAACTGACTGAAGAATAACAAAAATAAGTCTTGTATAATCAAATGTTACATAGAACAGGGGTTTCAGTGCTATGAGAATTGAGAAAAAGGAAAGAACACGTGGGCTGGAACTGAGAGGAAAGGCTTACGTGGAGAAGCAGGATTTGAACTGTGCCTTGAAGAAAATGTTTTGATTTAGACTGAGGAAGGGGAAAAACCCTCCCAGTCTGTGGCATGACTAAGCAAAAATCCAAAAAGAGGAATGAGCTGGATTCATTTTGGGGATAGAAAGGTAACTGTTGGTGTAGACTTGCTTAAAGGAATTGTTTAAAGAAGTAGTGAGAAATATTGACTGCTTTAGATGGAAAGGGCACATTGAAAATAATCCAATTTTTGAAGATCTACTTTAATAAGATAGAACATAAATTTTTTTTTTAAAGTGAAGTAAAAGTTTAAAAGTGACAAGATGCATTGTCAGGAAGAGGGTTAGTGAATACCGATAATTTATCTGAGAGAGTAGTTAGGAGGCATTGCACTGACCTAGGGAAGAGCGATGGATTGACTGGGATGATTGGAGTTGATGTTGAAGGACAGGAGTAAGACAAAATGTTGAAATAATTAGATGCAAGAATCAACACGCCTTGGTGACTAATAGACTAAAGAGACAGGAGTCAAAATATTGAAAGTGAAGCGAATATTTAGGCAGTAGGCTTGTAATTCATAGACAGTGCTAGTTGATTTTTTTGTGAGAAAGGAGTAAAAATATGGCCAAGATTTTAAAAGTTGTATTATTTTAGGAGGCTTCATTTTAGCAGTCCCCTTCTCCCCCAATCCGTTTTCTGTTTGTTTGTTTCTTCTTGAATTCAGCAAGACTAGAAATACAAGGTATATGGGCTCCCTCTTACAGCTCACATTGGGGTTGAAGAGATCAATGACCAATCAGTACATTAAAAACAAGATGAATGACTGCAATAAATGCAGCAAAAGAAACTCACAATAGAGAATAGACGATGGAGCCAGAACAGGGAGTGGGAGGTGTTCTAAAGAGGCTGATTCAAGAACTCTCTGAGGAGGTGACATTTAAGCTAAACCCTGAATGATGAAAATAAATCAGCTATGTAAAAAAAGTAGAAAGATTAATGAAGGCAAAGGACACAACAATGGCAAAGATCTGGGTGGGACAGATTTTGGCATGTTCAGGGAATACAGATGAGGCAGTGCCTGGAGGACTGGAGGAAGAGGAGCAGGAAAAAGAAGTGAGGTTAGTGAGATAAGAGGCAGCAAGATCATGTAGGACTTCACAGGTCATTGTAACATTCTTAATTCAGTAGGCAGCCACTGAAAGATTTAAGCAAAAGACACAAGCATGATGTGATGCTGGCTGCCATTCAGAAGGCAAAAGTTGAAGCAGAAGACCAGTGAAAAATGTAGTATAATACAAA